GTGGGCACCTCCCCCTCGGGGCCTGACTCCCCTCCCCCTCCCCCGGGGCAGCTCCCCACACACCCCCCGTGGGCACCTCCCCCTCCCACCGGGGCCTGATCCCCTCCCCCTCCCCATCCTTCTCCCCCCACCCGGGCAGCTCCTCCCCCCACCCATCCCCAGGGGTAGCCCCCTCAGCCCCCACAGACCCCTCCCAGCCCCTAGGCTCAGCTCCCCATCGACCTGCCCCCTCCCCCCGGCTGGGTGCTGCCGGCCTCGGGATCCCGCCCGCAGCCCCCGGCCAATGACAGCTGGAGGCTGCGGCTCGCGAGCTGCCCGCCCAAAACAGCCCCGAGCTCGCGCCCAGCTCGAGGGCAAGCGCGTGGGGCTGATCCGGATCCTCCCCTCCCACCGGGGCAAGCGCGTGGGGCTGATCCGGATCCTCCCCTCCCCCCGGGGCAAGCGCGTGGGGCTGATCCGGATCCTCCCCTCCCCCCGGGGCAAGCGCGTGGGGCTGATCCGGATCCTCCCCTCCCCCCGGGGCAAGCGCGTGGGGCTGATCCGGATCCTCCCCTCCCACCGGGGCAAGCGCGTGGGGCTGATCCGGATTCCCTTCCTACGGGCAGGTGCATGGGGGGGAATCGGATCCCCCGGGGGGACATATCCATGGAGCTGATCCCGATTCCTCGTCTCTCCCCCCGGGGACAGGTCCATGGGGCTGATCCCGATCCGGATTGCCCCGCCCTAGCGCTGACCTGGCTCCCCCTCCCGGGCTGGCCGGGCCCCGGGCTGGGCTGCCGGGCTCCGGCTCCAGGCAGGGCGGGAAGAGCAGCTGCTGCAGGAGGGAGAAGTCGGGGGGGTGCCCGTCCAGGAACAGCTCCCCCTCCATGCGCGGGGCCGGGAGCCTCGCTGCGGGGAGCGGCCGGAGCAAGGCCGCAGCCCCAGCTGGGGGGCGGGGGGGGGACTTAACCGGACACACCTGGGCAGCCGGGGCCTCGCCCTATAAGAGCCCGGAGGGCCGGGGCGGCCCGGGCTGGAGGGAGCCTGGCCAGGTCGGGGGGTCGCGTGTCTCTTTGTGCTGGTACCGGGGGGTGATGCCCACCTGCCCCAGCAGTTGGGTGTCTGCCCCCTCTGGGGGGAGGGGCCGCAGCGGGTTTGCAGCTGGGAGGGGGCAGGGCCCTGCCCTGCTCTGCCAAGCCCTGAAGCGTGGGAGGGCCCCAGAGCGGCTCCCCCCGGAGCAGGGGTAGGAGCTCTCATCCCAGTGGGGCTGGGGGAGACCCGGACACCCCCCCGTCTCCCCCTTGCCCGGGCTGTGGATGGTGAGCACCACCTAGGGGTGATTCTCCCCCCACCTAGCAGCGCAGCCCCTGCCTCAGCTAGTCCCTGCCTCCCAGTCAATGGGGCAGCCCCAAAGGCAACCTGGCAGGTGAGTGAATGCATGTGACCCACAGCTGTGAGCGCTGGAGACCCCCCCTCATACTGCTGTGGTTATGCCAAGGGTGCATTTGCTCAGACTTCCCTCCTCTCCCCCTGCCACTCTGGCCTGGGCTATGCAGGGGGTCAGACTAGGGGCTCCCAGGGGTCCCTTCTGGCTTGGGGATCTGTGCATACAGCCAGGGTCCTGCTGGGCCTGGGAGCCCCTCGGGCGCATGGTGCTGCACGTGGCAGGCAGAGCGGCTGGACGGTCCAGAGGCTACAGCAATGGAGCTGGGCCAGTGCTGTCCTGCATGGCACGGGCAGGTCCTTGGGTCCCCCCATTCCCTCTGTCCTGGCTTGGGGGAGATCTTTGGGACTGGGTCATCGGACCGACTGTAATACCCCCAATGAACAAGCCTGGGGGAAGAGCTGGTCTGGGTCTGGGTCTCAGGTCTCCTGCAGGCTCTGGGGGCCTGGACGTGGCCGAGCTGGGCAAGGTGAATCCCGCAGGCCTGGCTCCGGCATCCCCTCCTTGCCGGGGTGCCCTAGCAGGCTGAGGTCTCAGCTCAGTTCCTGTTGGGTGAGTGACCTTGGGCTCAGGAATCCAGACCCTCCATGGGCTGAGTCTGGGGGGTCTCAGACCACCTGCCCTCGGCTGTCCTACCAACGCCAAACCACGCAGGGTGGTCAGGAGAACACCCAGGACGCAGGTCCTGCTGCCACGGAGCTAAAGGGGCTGGAATGTTCCCACTTCCCCAGGCAGGAGAGTGACACGGCACATGCCACCAAAGCTAAAAGGCTTCAGGTCAGACACCGCCCCTCCCTCCCCGCCCGCAATGACTTGCTAAGCTGCTGTGACTGTTCCCAGACCTTCCCACACCCCCCCCAGTGCGGGCTGGGTGGGGAGATGGTCGAGTGGGTTTCTGCTGCCCCACTTGTGCACATCTCATGGGAGGGTGGAGCTGCCCCAAAGGGCAGGGGCACGGCCCCATCAGTACAATGCAGCCATCTCTGGGGTGGGACACAACCACTGTTTGTCAACCAGACAGCAACAGTTTAGCAGAGGGGGGTGTGTGTGTCTGTCTGGGGGCAGATGCAGTGTTCTCTCTTTGCAGACAGGTAAAATAGTCAGCACCTGGACAGGCGTTTGGCTGGCAAAGCTGGTTCCTGGCTTTCAGTGGGATCCAGCCCCCAGGATGCTGGGGCGTCTGGCAGCTCAGCTCCCCTTAGGCATCCCGCTGAGTCTAGCACCGATGCCAAGGGAGGAGCGCAGCAGCCAGCCCAGCCAGCTCCCGCGTGTGGTGGTAAGACACCTGCTAGGAGCGTGTGTAATCCGGCAACCCCCTCGTCTTCCCTGGCTGACGTTCAGCCACCTCCCGTGCTCCAGGGGGGCTGCAGAAGGGTTCCGGTTCTGCAGGTGCCTGTGAGGTTCCGAAGCCCCTCAGCCTGTGGGGGTGGCACCAAGGAGGGGTAAATCTTGTACCACTGACGCTCAGCTCAGCTGTAACGAGTGTTCGGCTTGGGCTGGAGAGCGAGCGGCTCTCTGCTCCCTACTGCGCCCGTGCGGACAGTCTCAGGTCTGGGGGCCGGGGAAGAGAGCAGGCAGCGTGTTGTACAAACGTGAGCTTTAATATAATAAAATGTGGCTGCAGCAGGGGCAGTGGCCCTGATCCTGAGGTTACAGGGTGAGTGACTGTGACCAGCCCAGAGAATATGCTGCTGTGGTCCCTGCTGTCCCACGTTAAATGGCACAGAGAACGCACCAAGGCCCCTCATGTATATTAAAGCACGCCATGAGAAACTGACCTCCAGGCAGGGTGAATGCAGAGCGCCCTCTGCTGGCCTCCCCACAACCTGCCCTCCTTCTGCTCCCCGGGATGGGCTGCGGGGTTTGTTCACCACCACCAATAAATACACGTTCCCTGAACAGAAAAGGCCGGGCTGTTGTACGGCCCCCTCTCCTCCTCTGTCCCACGTCGCTGCTGGGGAGGGGGTGGCAGAGCTGGGATGGATTCGGGGGGGTTATTCTAGCATCTTTGCTGCTGCCATCTTCCTCCTCTTCCCCCCACCCGCCCCCAGGCCTGTAGGAAGCTCGGCACTTCACCTTGGGCTTATAAAACTAACAACCCCTCCCCCCACCTCTCCATGTCACCAGCAGGCCCCCCGGGGGAGCTTTCTCCGACCAGCCCCCCTTGCTTTGGGCTCTCTAAGGCCCAGCCCCAGAGCCACGGGCAGCCCCGAGACTCCTCCAGCCTTCAGTGGGGCTTGGGAACGTGGCCATCCACGTAGAAGTTCCTGGTGATTTTGGGCAGGGTGAACTCCGCCCCCTCCAGCTCTTTGGTGAGGATGATCTGACAACCGAGCCGGGAGTTCTCCTGCAGCTGCGGGGCCAGGTCCAGCATGTCTTCCTCCCTAGGGAAGCCGAAGAGTCAAGGGTGAGTCCGCGTGGCAGGGGGACGTTAGCTGGTTGGCAGCATTTCCCAGGCTGAACGCAGGCGACTTTCACTGAAATGCAGCCGCTGCTGGGGGGGAGGAGGGCAGCAGCTGAACAGACCCCACCCAGTATTGCAAAGGGAAAGAACAGGCTTGGGGCTAAAACACTGGGCCCCAGGAGCCCTGGGTTCGAGTCACAGCTTTGGCAATGCTTGCGGTGACCGGGGGGAGGGGCACTGACTGGCTCTGGGCCTCAGTTTCCCTCACCTGTAAAATGGAGAAAATTCTTCATTGGTCTGTTTAGACGGTGAGGAGCAGGGACCCTGCTGCTGCATCCAGCACACGGGGGGAGGAATACAGAGCCCTGCTTTCCTGGTGTGTGTGTGGTGGGGGTGAGGGGGGGCAGCAGGGCCCAGGCGCCCAGAGGCCGTTACCTTTCGTCAGGGACAGGCAGCTTGTCCACCAACTCCTGGCTCACGTAGACGTGGCAGGTGGAGCAAGCCAGGGAGGCTTCGCAGGCGCCTAGGAACACAAGAGCGGAGGGTCAGGGGGCAGACAAGGCCCCTGCGGTGGAAGGGGGGAGGGGGTGCCTGAGCTGCCCCCAGGGAGAAGGGGGAGCCCAGCCGTGTGCCTGTAGTGAGGGCAGACTACATGAGTCCCTCACCTCTGACCCCTCCTGCCCCCGGGTCCAGCTCTGGGACACCCTCCAGCAGCCTGACTGCCTCAGTGCCCCCATTCTGGATTCTTGGGGGGAACAGGAGTCTGGCTACAGGGAGGAACGTGCGGGGACCATGAGCTTGACCCCGCCCTGCCCCTTCCCACCTCCCTGCATCATGGCCCCCCTCTGGGGACTTGGCAAAATCCCCTGAAATGCAGGGAGGGGGAGGGAGCACTGAAGAGATTCCAGGTGCTCCCGTGGCCATACCAGACGCTGGCAGCTGCCGGGGCCCAGGGAGTGCCTGACTCACGCCAGCCCACGGAGCTGTCTGCATCCCCAATTGTCTACCACCCAGCCCGGGGCAGGGGAGGGCAGAGCGGCACAGACCTTCCAGTTCGATGTTGTGCCTCTGGGCCAGACGCAGCACGTCCTCCCCCACGCGCCCCTGCACGGGGATCCGGCGCCCAGAACGGTCAATGAAAACCACGTTCACTCTAGAGGAGGGAAGGGGGGTGTTGGAGAAACACAATCAGATCCGGCCACTTCCTGCAGCCACTGGAAGATGGGGGCTAGCAGGATTATATAGAGTGAAGGGAGCCAGGGCTGCTGACGGGGGTGAGGGGGATCAGTTCTCAGGGCACACGCAGCAGACCTCCAAATGTTAGGGCAGCCTGCGAGCCAGCTGGAATGGGACCACGGGGCAATCCTGGTGCTTCTCTCTTCCACCAGGGCGATTGACAGGCATTAGCCACACGCCTGCCCCAGGTTGCACAGCGCATTACAGAGCAAGGTCAGGCTCATCCTAGTCATGTGACAGGTGGGGAAACTAAGGCACAGAGCAACCCAGAGACTTGCCCCAGTGACAGAGCTGGGAACAGAACCCTGGTCTCCCAAATCCCAGCCCAGCGCTGCACCCACGTGGACATGCTGCCACTCTTGCAGGGCTGCAGAGCCCCCCCCGGACCCCATTCTCTGAGCCCCCCTACAGAGGGCAGGGGCAAGATCTGGAAATATCATTTGGATACCCCAGTGCTCACATCCGCCTGGTGAGGGAGGCAGGTATGATCCTCGTTTTACTGACCAGGGACAAAGAGGGGCAGTGACTTGCCAGAGGTCACACAGGGAGTTGAGGTCAGCCCTGGGATTAGAACCCAGGCATCCTGCACCCCAGTGCTGCGCTCAGCCCACTACTGCCCCACATCCTTCTGGACCAGGTCTGGCAGCCTCTGAAAACAGAGACCATCCTGGCTGAGGAGGCAGCGTAACTCCTCCAACGCGATGGCTGCAAAAAGAGCCTGGTACTTACATGTCGCCCGCGAGCTCCGCTGTGCAGCTCTCGTCTTCCGCCTGGAACACCCCTGGGAAAAATACATTGCAGCTCAGCTAGCAGACCACCTCCCCGGGGCCCGTCAGCCCAGCCTGAGCGGGGCAGGAGCGTGAAAGCTCACGGGGCAAAGAGTGTACTGGGACGGTACCCGAGGAGGTGGCGCAGGGATGTCCCTGACGGGGCAGGGGGAGGCAGCAGGGATGGGAATGGCAGGTTAAAATAGGCCCAGTTCGAATAGGCAATGGACAGAAGGAGCGTCAGGCTCAAGCCCATACGGCAGGACCATTAATCCCAACTGGACCGAGACCTTGGGAAGGTGCCTAAGGGAATTAGGAGCCCAATTCACACTGAAAGGCAGCGGGAAGGGGGGTGCGTCCTGTAGGCACCCAACACCCAACGCGTGACACGCAGGCTCCTGCAGAACAAGTCAGCCTGGTGCGCAGCCGGGCGTCGCACACCAGTGCACACCGCGTCTGCACCATTCGCACCAGCACCGTGCGACTTGCACGGGGGTGGCAATCACACCCCACTAGGGTGAGAATAGTGACATGAGTCTGGTGGGGCTCAGCCCAGTTCACAGGGGTCCCCCCCCGCCCCATGGCAGCTCCCGCTGGGAGGCCCGAGGCGGGGCAGGCCAGGGCCGAGCCCGCTTCTCCCCCGGGGCTGTGGGGGCCCCACGCGCGGCTCTGCCCTAGCTCGGGGTGCCCCGCCCCACGGAGACTGGGGGGGCTACCCCCCCGGCCCCGCCCCGCCCGGCCCCACCTGCCGTGCGGAAGCCCCGCGCCGGGCGGAGCCGCAGCCCCCCGGCGCCCCCAGCAGCAGCCGAGTCACAGCCCCGCCACCGGCGGCCATGGAGGCCGCCATGACAGGCGTCACGTGATCCAGGCCGCGGTCAGAGGTCACTGGCGGCGGCTGCTGAGTGCAGGAGACAGGCGGGACCAGGAGGGAGGCGGAGGGGCGGGGCCAGTGAGTGGGGGGGGAGGGGCTTGGGACCAGGAGGGGGTTGGGGGGGCTGGGACCATGGCAGGGGTGGGACCAGGAGGGGTTGGGGGGCTGGGACCATGGCAGGGGTTGGGGGGCTGGGGCTATGCCGGGGGAGGGGCTGGAACCAGGAGGGGGTTGGGGCTACACCAGGGACAGGGGCTATGCTGGGGGGGAGGGGCTGGGGGGCTACACCAGGGGCAGGGCCCTGCCAGGCACTGCCCCATCAGCACAGCCGTGCCCAAGCCCAGCCCAGGCCGGATCTCAGCCTGGTGCCAGCCATGCTCTGTGGGCAGCAGCTGCAGCCTGGCCTGCACCCATCCCAGGGGGCAGCACCTATGGGGCCAAAGGGACCTGGCTCGTCCCCGTTTCAGTGGAGTCAGACGAAGCCTCCCTGGGTCCCTCTGCCCCAGCACCCCAGGAGCTGAGCGCCTGATCTATTGGGCACCGGGGCCAGCAGCCACAGCGGATCACGCCCTAGCCTGGGACGCAGCAGAGCTGGGTTCTAGGTGCCGGGCTCGGTGCCTGACCTTAGGCACAGCCCGTCCCTGCTCTACCCCCCTTTCCAGAGGCAGGAGCTGAACGTTACCAACCTGCTGCGTAAAGCGCTTTGAGAGCTGCCCCCGAAACACACCTGCTAAGAGCTGGGACGGGGACAGATGGGGACCTGGGCCCCAGAGGCTGCGGCAGAGCAGGGAACGCAGCTGGGAAGTGGGAGATGGGCTCAGGGCCCTCCCGCTGCCCAGTCCCCCCTTTAGTACTGCAGTTTGCACCGGTTCTAGGCTGTGTTGCATTCATTACACTGACAGTTTGCTGTCCTGTGTGAGGATGTCACCGTGGCCTAGGCCGAAGCTGCACTGGCCCCACGCCTGCTGCGTAGCGCAGGGTGGAGATGCGCGGACAGCAGCCACGTAACCAGCTGTCTCCATTAGCTGGGAGCAGGCACAAGCCACCTCAGGCTGGAGCAGATAAGTTGAGATAGATCTTGCTGCTACTTCCCATCACAGCCATCCCAGGGGCTCTGTATGTGCAAGCTGCAAGGGACAGACTTCCCTGCAGTCCTCGTGCTGGGGTCCCTGAAGAACTCACAGGGCAGGGGGTAGCTGATTAAATCCACTGAAGTTCCCCCTCTTCTCCCCTGCCGTCTGCCACCCTCACCTTGTCTTCTTGGGTCACTGCTCCCCTTCTAATTAAATCCACCCCCACCTCCCCTTGGTCGCTCTGCTTGGGGGTTACACCCTTTCTCCCACCCCCCACCGGATCCTGTTTATGTAGAATGCAAGCAGGGACTAGCCCCAGGAGCCAGCGCGTGTTGGGGCCTATGTCCCACCCTACGAAACATTAATAAGGATAAAGTCAGGTGCAGGGAGCTCATTACAAATTTTTTTCTTCCCTTAAAAATTTTCAATTCAGCAAACAAAACATTTGCATGGAGCTGGGTTCCCAGCTGAACCCTGACTCAGGCCAGAGCACAAGAGCTGCTACCCACATCCTGCAGCAGCAAGCAATGACCAGAAAAGGGCGGAGATGGGAAACAATCAAGGCAGGCATGAAGTAAAAATGAGAACAAGACAGCAGAGATGTGAAAGCCGGGCTCAGCAGCTGCACTTGGAGCCGAGTGGCAGGAAGGGAACTGGGTCTGATTGGGGGGGTGTTGGGGGGGGTGTTGGGGGGG